GATCTCGGATGGGTGACCACCCGACTTCTTAGTGACAAATCCATGGCACACACACATACACACACGTATTCCAACCCTACTAACAAAACTTTACAAACAAACCTTACACAAAAAAAAACCTCTACCGTTTCTATACACAGCTAATGGCTTTAGTTACCGGGCTTAAATACGATCAATAAAAATAAATAATATTTCAGATTATATTTCCATATCTCGTTATAACCCTTTTATAAATTTTGTAAAAGAAATTTCGAGAATATTTATTCATTTATGTCATATTTTAATTATCAAGTATACGACATTTTTTAGATGACTCAGGTGAAATGTTATACGAATTAAATTAAATAAACTTTATTTATTTATCTGGGTTTTTTTTTTTTTTAATAATATGCTAGTTAACCCAATTTTGGCTGATAAAAAGTTAACAAACATAGAATACAGTGATATATTGTTTTAGTGTACTTCAATTCACGAGAAAATCGGTATCAGTGTACTTCACTTTATGAACTGATTCGACTGTGTTAGGAAAAATCCGCTTGTGATGGATTGGATAGATCACTTCACACTTAATATTTTGTTGAACGCAGTTGAAACTACTCTCTAAACTTTCCTTTTATCTTTAAATACTATGCTTGATACTTTCATTAAAATTGCAAGTTGATTATTTTTTTAAGCTACACACATGTGGATATTGTGGGAAATATATTTTTTGTACATTTAAATAACAAATAATTAATTATTATTCTCTTTTATTAAAAAAAAAAATTCAATTTTTGTAATCAATAAACAAAAAATAATTATTCGATTTTTGTGAACTAAAAGATCCTTGAAATGTGTACCACTCTATATAAAACCTATACGAGTTGAAAAACGAAGCACAGAATACTTCCGAATCTTAAAGAATATGACAGTAATATTTGATATTATATTTGGTTCAATAGATTAAGCAAAAAAAAAAACAAACGTACATTTTATTTATTTATGTATACGAAGATTCGGAGATTAATCTGTTTTACTATTCTAGCAAACAAATATAGCTAAAATATTATAAGATAAAAGAAATCAAAAGCAGGAATTTATGTTTCATTAAAAGTGACCCAACATGCTCTTTAAATAAAAATATTTATAAAATAACAATCGTCATTACATTGTCACTACGTACATTGCGACAGCCCGGCCCATTTGGAAATATTGAAAAAATTTTGCACTAATATTTAGCACGTATTTAGCATGAATTTGCATGGCTAAAATTAGAATTTGCATGATATTAGATTAATGGCTAAACCCAAATATTGATGAGCCGGGCTGGCGCAACGTTACGCCAGCCCGGCCCAATAGCAAACATTTAATTATCGAATATACAGATAAACCAATATTTAGCACGCCATTAGCATGAATTCGCACGACTGTCGCCAG